AGAGAGAGAGAGAGAGAGAGAGAGAGAGAGAGAGGCCTTACCAATTTGAGCCAATCGGTTAACCCAAGGAGGGATTGCGTTTCCAGTGAGCCTGAAGCAGACATCCTTGCAGAAATGGTTGCAGTTCTTTACAATGAGGTGGTAAGTATTGCCATTGTAGTTTGAAGCGTGTTTCTCCATGAATTCTCTCACTTGAATTGGATTCATGGAGGTGTTACCCATGAACACCGACTTCCTAAACTTGAACCCTTGGCACTGCTTTGGCTCCACCTCAAATACCCCACTTGATGGATAATCGTGTGCACCAAACGCATACTCCACTCCATGGACTGTAATGTCAACATCCCAAATGGTTTCACTAGATTTTAGATCACTATGGCAAAGTAAATTTCAGTACTGTTCTACTCTCTCTCTCTCTATAAAAAGAAAAAAAAAGAAGAAAACCCACTGTTATTAATAACGAAATAAACAAGAGAAAAGAACTCTTTCATTGGTTTCAAATAATTCTACAAGAAAATAAATAAAAACTACAGAAAAAGTAATCCCTCTCTCTCTCTCTCTCTCTCTCGCTCTCTGAATGATACAGAGCCCAGGAATTCTTTTAGGTGCAGTAGAATCAAAGTGATACTTACAGACCACCTGCAGGTATCTCTCTCCCTTTCTCTCTCTTGCTCTAAAAGAGAGAGAGAGAAAGGCCTATTATGTTCTCAAAGAGAGAGAGAGAAAGGCCTATTATGTTCTCAAAGAGAGAGAGAGAGATATGCCCCTGATGTTCTAAAAGAACAAAAATTTAAATTTAACTCCATTCCTAAGAGCCGGAGAGACTGTGACAAAAATGATGTGAACAAAGACAAATTTTACCTATAGAAAAAATAACCTTCCAGCTTTATTCTAATTTTTAATATAAAAATAGTAAAACAAACACGGTAAAGTAGTAACCTATGGTTTTTCCACTTCCTGGACCATGAGTTTGCTTAGTGGAATTTATCAAAATCTTTTGCCTCGCAACAAGAAACAAATAGTAAAAAGAAGCAAATAGCAGGAACCTGAATACAATAATGGAGGGGAGCTTTAAAAATATAAAATAATCACTGAACTTCCCTTAATTAACATAAATTATCCAAATCCACCAAAATTGCCCTAAATAGCTAGGATTAGAGTCAATGTCACCATTTTCGCTCTTCTCATAGCCTGAAAGAAAACCACTAAATTTGCTAATGCTCTCTCTCTCTAACATACACACAATAAGGATACTGAAACACCATATCCCCCATTAATCTAAATGAACCTATATTTTAAGCGTACTAATTTCCCACAAGAAACACAAGAAAACTAATGAACCATAGTGATTCAGTACTGAAATTTCCACAAAATAATTCCAGAAAATATAATCACAAATGTTCCCAGGGCATCATTTCATGCAAACCACATTCTTAAAAAAAAAGAAAAAGAAAGAGAAAAGAACCACCCAAGAAGTACACAGAAGGATAAATCTAGAGAGAGAAAGAGAAAGAAAGAGAGAGAGAGGGGGGGCCTATAGATCTGAAGAGGACTGACCTTCGACTCCAGAGTGGAAGACCCCAAGTCCAAACCAGTAAATGTAGCCGTTAGATGGGGTGAGGTCATAAACATTCAAGTAAACAGGTGAAGAAGAAGAAGAGGAGGAGGAGGAGAAGCCATTTCCTTTTCCGTTGCCATTGCTAAGAGATGGAGAAGAAGAAGAAGAGGAGACCTTCCTGAAACCTGATCTGAATCTCTTTCTAAGTCGAAATGGAACCACTGATCTCCAGCTCCTAACCTTCCACCCCACCCCCTTAAATTTCATTCTCTCTCCTCCTTTTCCACTTTCTCTCTAAATTGGGAACTATTTCACTCTCCGGTTTTCTTTGATTGAGGGAGGCCCAGAAATGAGGAAAACACAGAAATTGGGGGGAGATAATTGCTACACAAAAAGAGACAGCGGGTATGAAAATGAGGAATATATGAAGATAATGTCGAAATCTGGAAATGCTGGGGAGATGAAAATCTGAAAAAAAGCACAGAGAGAAAGAGAAGAGAAAGAATCTGAAAAAGTGCCACTAGTGAACAATCTAATGTGAGAGAGAAGGGGGCCAATGGGAAAATATCAGAGAGAGAGAGAGTGGGGTGAGAGGGTTAGAGAGAGAGAGGGAGAGAAAGAATGGCGTGAGAGGGTTAGAGCGAGAGAGAGACAGTAAGAATGGCGTGAGAGGGTTAGAGAGAGAGAGAAAAAGAGAGAGAACGGGGTGAGAGAGTTAGAGAGAGAGAAAGAATGGAGTGAGAGGGTTAGAGAGAGAGAGAGAGAAAGACTGGGTGACAGGGTAAGAGAGAGAGAGAGAGGTATTGTCGCAGTGGTGTGTTCGGATTACGGGTTGGGTTGATCTGAGAAGATCTCTC